TAATTTACAAATATATTCAATAAGGTTTTAAGTAACTTCTTGATTAATCTTAATATAACTTAATGCACTGAATTTCAATTTTAGTTCCTAGGTTAGAAACTAAATTGTATTACAAATTTAGATATCAGTAGATATCATATCAGACATTATCTACAACATATAAAACTTCTGTATCTTGAATTGATAAAATTTTAAATAAATACCTTATTAATATAACCTGATAATTAATGTAGGTATGCCTTAATTAATAAATTAAGAGTTTGATTTGAAAATTACGTGAAAGTGATATTAAGTGCTTTTCATATATACAAGTGCTTTTTCTATAATAAGTTAGTAAAACTACTGTAATAAAAATAATTGAAATTATATTTAAGATCTGCAATTTACTACAAAGTACATATTGTGTGTACACCTGTACTATAACTTTCAATAAGAATAGTATCTGTTATGAGAACAAATAGATAATTCACAATAATTATCAAATTCCTATATATGGGGTATAAGGATTCAAGTAACAATTCAGAACTCTTATAAAATAATGTTTTACAATACAATAGATTTAACCAATCCTTCAATTTAATCAATTATGTAAACGAATGATTAGATTATCAATTATTTCTTATTGACATCATTTGGAAAATAACTCTTAAATAGAGTAATATAAGACGATTCAAAATTAAATTAAAACTCATTAATACTTTAGTTTAGCAAACATTAACACAGACATGTTTAGTAAAATTAACATAATTTGTTTAATTTTCTTTGCAATCTATTCAGTAGAATGCGATGATTTAAATAAACGTTTGGATTGTTATCTGGAAAGTAAGTAATTGATCGTTAAAATAGTCAATTCATATACGATAAAAACTTTATAATAAACAATAACTCAAAATAATTAATATTTAAATTGTTAGATGACTTCATAGAAAGTAAGTCAGAATGTGAACAAAGAGGTTGTGTTTGGGACGTGACTTCCAAGAGCTCAGTCAGTCCTCAATGCTATTTGAATACAGAAAAGATTGGCTATAATTTGTCGGGAAAGAGGACCAAAACTGCCACCGGTTTTGAGATCGATCTGCAAATCAAAGACACGGCCAAACACTTATTAAAATCAATGTCACAAATTGACAAATTAAAACTAAAAGTAGATTATTTGTCAGAAAATATACTCAGATTTAAGATCTACGACCCGAAAGACAAGAGATATGAAGTTCCCCTTCAGGAGACATTTCCTTTAAATCAATGTCACAAATTGACAAATTAAAACTAAAAGTAGATTATTTGTCAGAAAATATACTCAGATTTAAGATCTACGACCCGAAAGACAAGAGATATGAAGTTCCCCTTCAGGAGACATTTCCTTTACTCTTGCAAAAGCCGGTCATAGACCCGACATCAGCCAAATATTCAGTTGAATTGAATGACAATAACACAGAATTTAATTTGGCTGTTGTTAGGAAAGATACCAAAACAAAAATGTAACCCAGAATAAATTACATATTAATTTTATATACCATCTAAATAATATGTGTATCCATTTATATGATAACACAGTTTTGACACATCGATCGGTGGACTTATATTCAGCAATCAATTGCTGCAAATCGCCACATATTTGCCGACTCAACACATCTACGGTTTCGGAGAGAATACACACCATTCCCTTAAACACGATCTCAATTATAAGACATGGAATCTATTCTCTCGGGGAGAGGGGCCCGACAAAGTAAGACATTATCTTATTATCATATAATATAAGTTTAGATAAATTAAAATCATTTGCCATTAGGGAGTCATCAACCTGTATGGCGTCCATCCCTTTTATACAGGTCTTGAATCTGACGGCAAATCTCATGGAATTCTGTTTCTTAACAGCAATGCAATGGGTATTGAAATATATTACAAGAATATTCTTATATTTAAGTTTTAATAATAAATATTAATTATTTGTAATGAATAGAGTACACACTAATGCCAGAGCCGGCGCTGTCACTGAAGACAATCGGAGGTGTATTAGACTTCTTCGTGTTTGTGGGCAATAATCCCGAACACGTGATCCAATTGTATACACAACTCATTGGACGACCATTTCTACCGCCCTTCTGGTCACTTGGCTTTCAAATAGCTCGTTATGGATTCAAAAACACAGCTAATGCTAAGGATGTTTTTTATAGAAATATAGAGGCAAAAGTCCCACTGGTTTGTATGAGTTACATTTTTCTACATGTATCAATTTTGTCTATTTTATTGTAATTCATTGAATTCACTTATGAATAGGATGTCACTTATATGGACATTGATTATATGAATGAATTTCAAGATTTTACATATGCTCATGATAATTTTTCTGGTTTACCACAATTGATTTCATCGCTTAAGAAAGACCACGACATTCATACCACTCTGATGTTGGATGCGGCCATTCAGGGCAATGATAGCAATTATGGCGCCTTTTGGGACGGCTATGAAAACGATGTGTACGTAAAATGGCCTAAATATGTGAACACAAGCCAACAGCACAATCCGGACGGCGTGAAGACTGATAAGTCAGTCCTGTATGGAAAGGTATGGCCTTACGGACCGGCTGCCTTTCCTGACTTCTTTAAGGACGCCACTAAAAAATGGTGGACTAAATGGATTAGATATATGTATACAGATTTGGATCTTAAGTTTGACTCCATTTGGATTGTGAGTATAGTTTTTCTAAGTACAAATGTGAATTACATAATTATATTTACAATAAGTTAAAATAAAATATCACCTTGATCATTTAGGACATGAATGAACCATATGATTTTGCGTTTGATGGCCAGTCAAGAGACTACTGTCCCGAAAATGAACTAGATTACCCACCCTCCAGAATTCGTGAGTGATTAACATATTTTGAACCTAATAGTGAACTAATTATTGATTACTTAAGAGTCAATCTATGCCTATGAGAACTATACAAAGTTATCGGACGGCACGATATGCATGTGTACAGTACAGGGAGAACAGGGAGAATACACTCACTATGATGTCCACTCACTTTATGCCGTCCCTCAGAGTATTGTCACTCAAAAGTGAGCCCCCATTTGATTGTTATGAAGTACAGTATATTCTTAAAATTATTTTATATGATTACTTAACAGAGCCGTACAAGAGATCACCGGAAAGAGAGGTTATGTACTCTCGCGATCCACTTATGTATCTTCGGGTAGATATACAGCCCACTGGACGGGCGATAACATCTCGACCTTTAGTCAAATGAGAGACTCTATTATCGGTGTCTTGGAGTTCAATATGTTTGGAATCAACTTTGTAATATAACTATTTGTCAAATATGCATACAGTATATCATATGAGCTGGGCACAATCATAGTAACGTTAGCTTTTTTATATTTATTATATCTAATTATTCATTTTATCCAAAAGTCAATTATTCATCAAATATACATAGGTTTAAGCTAAACGAGTAGTACTATGACTTATCAGGTTCAAATATTACTGCATTTTAAAGTATTCATAAAAATATCTAACGTTACTATGATTGTCCCCAGCTCATATATCATACCGTATCTATAATTGCGTTAATGAATCCAAATGGTGTTTGTGGCACAGGTTGGCTCAGATATCTGTGGATTCTTTCATAACCCGACTCCTGAGTTATGCCGCCGTTGGCTACAAGTGGGGGCTTTCCATCCATTCAGTCGCAGCCATAACGAGATAAATGCAAAAGACCAGGACCCGGCTGTTTGGACCATAAATGGTCACCCAGAAGTCACACAAGCCGCCATTAATTCACTAAATCTACGCTACACTCTATTGCCGTATTTATATACACTGTTCTATAGGGGACACACCATTGGCGAGACAGTGGCCCGACCCGTGTTTCATGAGTTCCCCACCGATATTCATACGTACGATATTCAGGAACAGTTTATGTGGGGTCGCTCTGTACTCATCACTCCTTTCCTTTATGAGGTATTTCTAGCTACAAATATTTATCTAGGTATTTCTAGGTATTTCTAGCTACAAATATTTATCTAGGTATTTCTAGGTATTTCTAGCTACAAATATTTATCTAGGTATTTCTAGGTATTTCTAGCTATTTATCATTTATGTGAATAATTTATTTAAAAATTCAAAATTAGGGCAAAACCGAAAGGGAGGCCTATATTCCTGCAGACATTTGGTATGAGAGTTGGCCACAAATAGTGAAAGTGAAAGACACGGGAAAGTTAGTAGTCATCAAAGAGAAGAACCTAACGGATCCCCCACCCGTCCACTTGAGGGGCGGATCTATAATCCCGATGAGTGTGAAGACTGAACACAAGAACACTAATAGTGTGCGACAATCGGCCATCAATTTGGTTGTATTACCGGATCAGTCAAAGCGAGGTTCAGGTGATCTGTTTTGGGACGACGGAGAGTCCATCGATACCATTGGGAACGGAGTCTATAATTACTATACCTTTGAATTGTTGGACAACTGTTCCGTTGTATTGAATGTTAAACATAATAACTATACAAATGTACCGATTGTTGAAGAGATTAGAGTTTATGACACAACTGGTGGACAAATCACAGCTACTATTGATGGCAAGAGTACCGGTGCTGTTGTCGATAAGGATGGTTCGGCTCGTATTCACACTAATTTAGACCTGAAGACTAAAAAGGCTGGCGAGCAATGGGTTATTAGTTGGACAGACACTTCAAAGAAATGCAATTTAAACTAACATAATATTAATTGAATATTTTAATTATAAACATTTTGAATGAATTACAATAAAATTATATAAAAATATCATTTGGTTTATCAATAATCGTTGCATTCTTACTCTCAACGATCTCTTTGACAATATT